GTGTGTGTGTTTGGTATTTGGCTATTATGATTTGGTTTGCCTTCGATATTTTGTTTTCGTTGGGTGTTTGGTTATTTGGTTGTGATGATATTCTGATGGTTCACTGTTTGGTTTCGTTTGTTGGACGTATGTGGGTTCTGTTATTGGCTGATGGGTTTTCCTCTGTGTGGCTTTGGTTTTCCGTTCATGTGTGTCCCCCTGTACTGTGTTGGTCGTGGGTTTTTATAAACCCCACCGGCCGTTGTGAGTCCCGACGATCTCGGGATCGTGGTTGTTGTGGCCGATCATCCCGGGATGGGTCAGTCCCGGGAATCTCGGCCGGCCGTTGGCACTGTTGATCGTTTGGCTCCCTGACTGCTCGGTGACTGAAAACTGGGAACCCTAATCCCTTGCTGGGCTAGTTCAGGCCCAAACTTGGACTGGATTCTTGAACATGGACCCTGCACAAAAATAAATGAGAAATAAATAATAAATAAATAATAATAATATTTTATATATAAACGTTTTCAAAAACGTATAATATATAAATTTTTAAAATGTTTTAAAAAAACTATATATTATATATATTTTCAAAATGGTTTTTAAAAATTATATATTATATAAATGTTTTCATAACGTTTTCAAAAGTATATATTATATATATTTTTAAAACGTTTTCAAAAACTATATATTATATAATTTTCAAAAAATATATTTTCAAAATGGTTTTTAAAAATTATATATTATATAAATGTTTTCATAACGTTTTCAAAAGTATATATTATATATATTTTAAAAACGTTTTCAAAAACTATATATTATATAATTTTCAAAAATATTTTAAAAACTATATAATATACATATTTTCAAAAAATGTTTTAAACTATATATTATATATGTATTTTCAAAAACAATTTGCAAACTATATAATATATATGTGTATATATGTATAAAAAATAAATAAAAAAAAATATGGACGGAAATTAGTGTCTACAAATATAACAATACTATTTGTATCTTTTTAATCTCATACTACAGAAACTCAAAGATTATGTATGATTTTACATAATTTTTAAACCATCATTGATTTTAAAAAATATTTTCATTGAAGTATATATTATTTATGTTAATATTTTCATCTACTTACATAAGGAGTGTAACACAATTTAATACTTTTATAATATTTTTAGCTGAATTTGATGTCACTTGTTTTGGATATAACGAAACTAAATGTTAATTTTTCATTAATTAAAAAAAAATTAAAATATTTAAAAAAATACAATTTTTTTAAAAAAAATATGAAAATTACAAGTCCAAAGAAAATAAGAAATATCTGAGTAGACTGCGACCTTATTAGGCCTAGGCAGATAGTTCCTGTGGTCGTTGTCGGTCGCTGCGCCATTATTTTGCGCATGAACATCATGGCCACTTTTTTAGAATAAAATATAGATAGCATGGATGAATCGAGGAGGAACAGGTGGAGATAATCTATCTCCTGAAAACTTAAATTTATATTATATTTTAAAAAAATTATTTAATTTAAAATTTATTTTTATAATTATAAATTTTATAAGTTCGTATTTTCTTAAAATTTTAGGTTTAAATTTTATTTTGACACAAGTTCTTAGGTTTAAATTCTCTCTTTCTAAATGACAACAATTTATTTTCCTTAATTTTATAAACAATTTAAATATTGATTTTAGTAAAATTTTTATCAAATTATTAGTTTAACTTAATGGATAAGTGTTGAACCCTTATGTCGTTGAAATATAAATATAATTTTGATGAAATTATAACAAATTTCTAATTTAACTCAATAATTAAGTTTTGAACCCCTTCTTAATTGCATAGCATAATGTTTTTTTTACTTTTATTTGACCAACCAAATGATTAAATAAATTTATTTAAACAATAAATACAATGATTTAATTTTTTAACGTTACTAAAAAAATAGAAAAAGAAACAATAATTTAATTATTGATGCACTTATCTTTTAAAAATTTAAAAGAATGTCAAAATTGCTAAATGAGTAGGAAAAAAAAAAGAATCTCGAAAATTTTAGATACAAGTACAAAAATTCAAAATATATAAATTGTAGTTTTAAAATATATGAATATATTATAATTTTCAAAAAATAATTTGAACTTTTTATAATTAAGTTTTTATTTTTTTTCTTTTAGGATTCTTTTTATAAAATTTTAAAAACAATTTATATAAAATAAATATTTTCATCACACGATATTTTTTATTGACTCATATCATCTTGGTCGATAATATTAATAATGAACGACGACAATACTTTATAACTTCAATATATTAAAGTAATAAAAGTTTTCTCAGGCATAAAAAATTATATATATATATTACAATGTTTTATCTTCAAAATAATTGGATAATGCATAGTTACCAGTATCTACTCTATCCACTTATACAATGTAAAACTCTTTAGTTTTACATAGATTTAAGACCGTTTGATGAGTAAAAATAGATGATTATGATTGACTCATTGTTTTTTTCCTAATGAATATCTTCTCATTTCCTATTATCAATCTCAGCTATATATTTTCACCCATCTACCAGTCATGAATCTGTATAAAACTAAAAACAGTTTTATATTGTGTAACAAAAAGAGTTTTACATTGTAACATGATCTTATACCATATAAATAAATAAATAAATATATATATATATATATATATATATATACATATTTAAAAAAATCAGATGAATTACAAGTGAAATTCGGATATTATTTTTTATCAATATGTTAATGAAAATTCAAGTGATTGAATCAACCCGTATTTAGCGGTACTATACTTTTAATTATTTTGTAGATAAATGGTTTGTTGGAAGATTGTGGGTTGCGTTGAAGTTTAGTTCCAATATGACACGGCTGTTAGAGGAAACATGCTTAAACACGAAACTTGGCTAGTGCATCATTGTTGGTCAATCATAATCTTAAGTCTTTTTATGATTGGATTAATATACTTTTTGGTACTCAAACTTCATTTCAAAATTCAATTTGGTATCTAAGTTTTTTTTATATTAGATATTTAATATTGAATGTTGAATAAGATCATCTAATTGCTAAAAAAACATTATTGAATTCAATTTAAATTAGGATTAAATTGATAAATTATGTAAACAATGAAGATTAAATGTATAATTATATTAATTTCATTAATTGTCGTATCATCTCTCATGTCAAATATTAATGAAAGATGATTTGATTAATATAATCTAAATACTTAAATGGTTTGTTTGATAAAATTGAAAGATGAATGGTTAAACTAGAATCGCCCATAGTTAAATGGTCATGAGTGTAGTTGCCATTAAATCTCACCATTAGTATTTGTATTATGCATATATTGTATTTTTTTAGTTCCTATTTAGCAATTTAATCATTTTAAAATCATTTAATTTATTCATATCGTTCATGTATTATTTTGGTCAGTATTATTTTTTTCTAAATTCGAAAAGTGTAAGGGTTAAAATTGATTAATACAGAATGTAGAGACTAAAGTTACAATTTATGCATGGTATAAGTACAGATGAAAACATTTGACCTATTTTCTTCTATTGTAGTACACAAACCAACTTGAAAATGTAGTACAGTTCGTTCAAGGTCGTAATCTTTTTTTCAAAAAACATAAAATAAGTTCTCTTTAATTCTGGAAATTGTTTTCCTCTGTGATCGAAGGATTCAATGAAGATGATGCATATGACCTTTTACTGGAGCCGGCAGGTGACTCTCTTATTCAGTTCATGGCGGACCAATTCATGGTCGAGTTACGCGTCGAGTCTCCTAGCTTGCGTTTTGGCTTCCGTTTTTTACCAGTACCTGGAGCACGTGAGGTATATCGTGAGGCGCGGCGGGAATCTGGCAGCGGAAGAGCCATTATTATCGCATGCGAACCGCTCCGGAGGAGTCAAGTGGTCGGGGAGGAAGATCGCCGCCTGGTTGCTGTTCGGGTTGAGCTCGGGTTTGGGGTATCTGTTGATGCTGGCGATCATGTCGTTCAACGGGGGTGTTTGTGGCCATTGTTGCGGGGTTGATGGTTGGGCCACAAACACCTCCCGTTATTTCAAATTTCTAAAACATAAATTAGTGTGGATGTAGCACTCTAAGATTACGACACACTAACTTACTATAAAACAAATGATTGGTTCCCATAAGTCATGCCAAATTTCCAACTTCATTTTGTATAAATTAATTTAGGAAAATTGTGCAAACTTTATAATATAAAATAAATAGGCTAGATGACCGGCCATGAGTGGTTGTTGAAAATTCCAATATTCTTTTCTTGTATCGTTGTAGTATCAGAAGAGATGTATATTTCGTTAGGATTTTGTCAATTTTCAAGGACTTAATTGCATGACACATCCTCAATTTATGACATTCTTTCTAAATTGGTCTTTAAATTTTTGAAGATTCCAATAGCACCTCCCAAATCATTCAATGAAATTAGAGTATTCAAAAGTTTGACTGATATAGAACAATAGTCATAGTTTGGGGATGAATTTTTAATGCTCAAAAGTTTGAGAACTAGTTTAAAACAAGAGCCATTATTTGAGAATAAAATTGAAATACTCAAAAGTTTAGAGACTAGTTTAAAATAAATATTATAATTTAGGGACGTGTAGTGCAATCAACTATTTTCAAGCTATATATGACCAAGTAATATGAAGTTTACGTGTTAGGTTGGTCTTCTTTATGTCTTGGTTTTGTTAATGACAAAACATGTTGGAAATGTTTAATATGTTAGAAAATTTAAGTTGCAATTTTAAATTCGTCCATTATAAAATATATATAAAGAAAAGTTTAAAAACCGAATCTCATAATTTATTCGATCAACTTAATATAAATTGGGTCGGATTTGGGTTTTAACTAATATATGTATGTATGTATGTATGTATGTATGTATGTATGTATGTATGTATGTATGTATGTATGTATGTATGTATGTATGTATGTATGTATGTATGTATGTATGTATGTATGTATGTATGTATATATGTATGAATGTATGCTGTTTCAACTCAGCTTTTATGCTAGTGTTTTCTTCCTCCAGTTGTTTCCTTGACAATATTTACAACCTGAATATGTATTGGATATGTAAATTCTCTTATAGTTTTATGCTAAGTGGAGATTCGGCATTAGCTACTGAGGAAAGCGGCAACTTGATCCGATTTCGCCAACCACGACGAAGTGAATCGTGTCTGTTTTCATCGTTGCGATTTTTATCGTCTTTCTTTGCAAGGAATTCCTTGCTGTCATCAGTTTCACTAGGAACTACATACACAAACGGTCCAACGAATTCATCGTCGAACCCTTGTATGGATTCCAAGACCTGGACCACATCGCCCATCGTAGGCCTCGGTTTCGGGTGGTGACTCAAGCATTTGTAAGCCAATGCAGCCACCTTCTGAGCCCCCCTGTTGGAAAACTGTCCCTCGAGTCTAGGGTCGACTACCCGGTCGAGCCTCTTGGGGTCCCTCAAAAGTGGCCTTGTCCATTCCACGAGGCTCTGTTCCCGACTTGGGCGGGTGTTATCCATCGATCGCTTTCCGGTTAATAGCTCCAAGAGAACTACTCCAAAGCTGTAAACATCACTCATTGTTGTCAAGTGGCCTGAAAGTAAACATATAAAATTTGGGGTTAGGTACATCACATGGTTTGACTTTGTAAACCAATGATCATCAACATCAATCCAACTTACCGGTCATGATATACTCCGGTGCAGCATATCCTTGCGTGCCCATCACTCGAGTCGTTACGTGCGTCTCTCCTCCTGCTGGACCGTCTTTCGCTAACCCGAAATCAGACAGCTTACAATTGTAATCCTGAAAGAACCAATGTGTCTCGGTATTTTCATCAAACACTTTTGACAAATATAGAACATAGAGCTTATCAAAAGTACTTACAGAGTCTAATAAGATGTTTGAAGATTTAAAGTCCCTATATATCACCGGTTTATCGGCTTCGTGTAGGAAGGCTAAGCCGTTTGCTGCTCCTAAAGCGATTTTCATCCTTATCGACCACGGCAACGTAGCCGAATACCCTGCAAATCGACCAATTTAACGTTACCGAACAACTTGAACAATATCCAATTAGTACTAATACCAAATCTCTCAAGTTTACATACTTCTAAAGAGTTGATTCTCTAAGCTGCCCCTCGGTAAGTACTCGTACACGAGGAGCCGGTTCTCGTCTTCGTAACAATATCCGATCAACTTTACCAAATGAGGGTGCCTCAATTGTCCCAGAAAGATGATTTCAGCCTGAATATAACACAACTTTTAGCATATAAAACTATGAATTATACCAGAGACCAGCATTCATATAGGTTTAGAAACTAACCAGCCATTCCCTATGACCTTGCAGGCCATCCAAGTCAAGTGCCTTAACAGCCACAGGCTGAGCCTTTAACCCGGGCCGAAGCTTGCCATCGACGAACCCCTTGTAAACCGGTCCGAACCCGCCTTCTCCGAGCAGGTTACACCGTGTGAAATTATGGGTTATTAGCCTCAGCTCGGCTAGAGTGAAGACGTTGAGATTCGAACCGAGGAGAGACGTCGAGAGATCATCAACACAGATCGGTGAGCTCGGATCACTCACATCAGACAGTGATAATCTTTGGAACTGAATTGGTTTCAAAGTCTTTTTCCCAGAATCATCAGACGAGTTGCTGCTGGTGCAACAGCTTAACATCAGAGACTTCCATGTAACCTTCTTCACAGACATTTTGTATATGTACAATCAAAGGGGAAATAATCTGGGATTCCTTTTTTCTGAAGAAACAAACAGAAACAGTCCAAGAAAATGAGGGGAAATGGGAAATTTTAAAGGGTCTTGAGGAATTTGGTGAAGGCATATTAGACTTTTTATACTTGATTCTTTCACTTACCTACTACCCTATCACATCCTATGCATATGAAAATGTCTTCGATTATTGTTTATTATTATTATTATTATTATTATTTTTCTAATCATATCTTTGATCATATTATACGAAATATTTGATGCTTATCAAATATAAATACAAATTAAAAATAAATAAATATATTCTTAATGCAAGTCTGTTTTTTTATGTTTCCATACCAAATGCCTCTTGACATTCAACTTCAATTAAAAATGAGAAGTTTATATATTTTTTAATAACTAACACTGAATCAAAAAAAGTCATTCACACACGACAAGACTATCATAGTTAATTTAGTAGAATGAAACCAAGAAAAGATATGGGTGAGATTGAAGATTTTTAATCGATCCGATTTGACTCCAAAACGCTTTTTTTTTAAACTTTAAAATATTTCAATTTGGGTATAGAAAAGTTTCACTCGACTCAAAACATGACTCACTTTTAAGATAAAACTCTATTTAATTAGGGACGGAGCTCCCTTAGGGTTCAAGGGGGCCTCGGCCCCTATTAAAATTTATATATTCAGTATAATTTTGGTTTAATAGTATTTTGGTTCATGTAAAAATATATTTAAATTTAGAAAATATAAAAATTTATTAAATATTTAATCAAGTAGAGGTCGAACTAAAGAATGGTAAGTTTGTGTTCTCAAATTTTTTGTCTAATTATAATTTAAGTCATTGTAAGTTTAAATATTAGATAAATTAGAAGTTGTCTTTTGAGCTTTTTATTTTTTAAATTTAGGGCGAATACAAGGTAATATATGTACAAAGACTTTCAACTATTTGACAATGACGCTCATACCCCTACATTCATGCTTGAACTCGGGACCTCAAGGATAACAACAATCCCTTAATCACTAAGGTCGTTTGGTTCATGCTGAATTTCGAGTTTAACTACATAATAAGTCTTTATATTTTTCTTAAATAGTCTAATATTTCGGTCCCTGCCAGTATTTAATTTTGGCTCTGTCCCTAGATCTTATATATAATATATATATGTATATAATTCTCATTTTTATTCAATAAAATAGGGATCTAATTAGAAAAATATAGAAAAAGAGCTTTTATTATAATTATCTTAAATATATAAGAGAAAATCACACTATTATTTCGAGTCGGGTTGGGTCAAAGATTTCTCACTCTAAATCCAAGTTCGATCCGAACTTTATTTTTTTAAATAACTGACCCTATAGGGTTAGGTCATATTATAACTTGTCGGTTTCGAATCTCATGTCCATCCCTAGATGAAAAGATTCCTTAAACATAATCTAAAGTTCAAATTTTGAAATAAATAGAGAAATTTAGATTGAGAGACGCTGTCATAATAGATTTTTGTAATGTTTGATTTAAATTAATTAATCAATAAATTAGACATGGATGATTATCTTAAAAGAAATGTCATCTCCAATCTAAAATATATGCATAAATATTAATTTAATAATAATACTGATAAAATAAGTGTATTTGCTACTATCATCTTTTATCAGTCGATCATATCATTTAAATTCATTTTTCCCTTTTTCCCTTTATTTTTATTCAATTTCAAATGGTAAAATTGACAATTAAACATTAAAGAAATAAAAAAATTTAAGATAAAAATTAGACAAACCCCAAGTGCATGTTATTGGGTAAAATTTCTATTAGTGCTCAACTAATGAAGATAAAAATTAAGATAAAAGTTCAAAAAGATAAAATTATCAGATAAATCATATAAAATCTTGTTAATAAATATTTCAATTGGGTTCAACTTGATTAACCTTATTTTTTAATTGATTAATTAATTCGGATAAAATCTTACAAAAACTCGTTATAGAGCCGATCCTCCATAATTTGAGCCTTATTTTTTGCTCAAAAAACCTAACGTCTTGTCTCCGTATCAACTAGTAGTTAATATAAATAATAAAATTTAAATACATACTCTAAGTTATTTTTATTATTTTTAAATATAAAATACTTATTTTACATCATAAAAATTAAAATTAATTATAAATTAAAAAATAGAATATATTAAATCTAAGGACAAATTACATAACTAGTTGCCTGGCTATAGTATGTTACTTTGTTAAGGCCTACCAAAAAATTGATGGTAGTTCGAGTTGGATGTCAATCTACAAATTGGAACATGATAAAATCATATTTTAATGATGTCTATTGGCACCATTGTTGCATTCAAACATTGACTCAACGACATAATGTTTCAAGCACTGTCTCAATTATATAATATAAACGGAGAGTCAAACAACAAAATACAACTCAAACGATTATGAGATCATATTTTATCATATTTCAGTTAACATGCTAACATCAATCTCAGACGATTAACAAATTTTTAACAGAAAATGACAAGTTTGGAACATATGAATAATCAAGTGACTATTCTTATATCTTTTCATAGTCGTTTTTCATAGTCGGGAGACTCAACAAAATAATGTCATATAGTAAGGGGATCATTTGTATTTTTACCATAAATTTAAATAACCACAAATTTTAAATTTTAAAATAATAAATTATACTGCAAATTTAATCAAACTTTAAATAATAATAAGATTTAATTGCATCACATGTCCTCAAAGTATGATCTAATTTTAAATTGGTCCCTAAACTTTTAAATATTTCAATTACATCCCTATACTATGACTATCATTCTAAAATAGTCCTCAAACTTTTGAACATTTCAATCTCATCCCCAAACTATAACTTTCATTCTAAATTGGTCCCTAAAATTTTTAAATATTCCAATTTCATCCCAAACTATACGTATATTATTATATGTTTGAAAAAAACAAAAATTAGGTTAAACTAAGGTTGAAAGTAATTGCATATTTGGATTTGGGGATGAAATTGAAATATTTAAAATTTTGAGGACCACTTTAGAAAGAGGGTCATAGTGTAGTGATGAAATTAAAATATCTAAAAGCTTAAAAGCTAACTTAAAATGCGAGTCATAATTTAGAGATGAAATTTTAATATTTAAAAAATTATGAGTCAATTTAAATTAAGGATTATAGTTTGGGATATACGATACAATTAACTATGATAATAATTGTGCTGATTTAGAAGTTCGAGTACGTGATTAAGTTGAGGATTGGGGTTCGTCACCAACCGGACAAGCAAGAAATTCCAAGAATGTGTTTTCCATATAAACCAAGTACTTTTTTGTTGCCAAAACTGATTCTATAACACTTTGACTATCTCATTAATTAAAAAAGTAAAATATTTAAATAATATTTTCTATATGATGAATGGGTATTGTGACAAGTATCAAGATGATTTCAGTTGGTAGAGCATAAGGTTTTTAACTTTGAGGTCGTGGGATCGAGTCTCACGGAGGGCATTTTATAATTCGGAGATCTCTTACGGAAACTGCTCTCAACCTGGTGTTGGAGGTAGCCTACTATCTTACCTCCCCTACCCCATACATATGGAAAAAAAGGACAACCATATATATATATATATAAGGAAATGTGTTTGGCATTATAACTTGATTAATGAAAATTCCTTCATGGATCGGCATTGTTTGATTAAAATAATAATAATAATAACGATGAGTTGGATGTAGACGATAGACACTTCAAGTAGTCTCATTAATAAAAAAAACTTGATGCCATGTTTTTCATGAATTTTCTAAAAAAACAATAAATTTATGTAAATTAAATTTATACAATTTACATATCAAATAATTTTTCATTTAAATATAATACGATATCTTTATTTTTCTATTTTATGACGTAAAAATTCAAATGTCACTTATTCAATCGTATATAATGTATGAAATATTTAAAAAAAAAATCGTATTTCGTTTTCTAAGAAAGAAAATTGAGGGGTTGTAGTGGGTAAGTAGAAGTGTACAACACTTATATTAGTATACGTCACATTTGGAGATTTTCAAAGTCCCACAAGCAATCATTTAGGAGTCATAATTTAATTTTCGGAAGCCTAAAACATAATTTTATTATTTGTAAAAGGATTAAATTAAACTATTTATTAAAGGACAACTGTAGTATAGTTTTATAAATCTTAAAACTTTAAATTTTGAAGGTACTAAACTCAAAATTTAACCATTTATGGGTGGCCAACCCTCCTTCCCCAGCTTTGCCACTTATCATAGAAAAGGTAGAAATATCTTTTTGACCCCTTAACTTTATCAGTTTACTCATTCTAACCTTTAAATTCTACTTTTTTGCCCCTTAAAGTTTTATTTTAATTTTTGTCAAATTAATTTGAAATGTAATTGAACAATAACAACGCTGTTGAACTTTATAAACTATTTCGTTCTTTTCTACCGTACTATTAAAAGATTCGAAACTATTATAAACTCTAAAAGACACTAACATTATATGATATCTTTATGTTTTGTCGAGTTTCTGAACTTTTTTAAACCTTAAATATTATAAATATTTTATTTCTTACACTTATTTTTAAAACAACAGAAATCTGAAATCAAACCTTGCATAGCCAACAATCTTTTGTTATCGTTTTAAATTTTGACATGGTAATTTAAATTTTCTGATTTCTCCAAAGACGAATCCCATAACATATTCCCTTATCGTTAGGTAGTTTAGCTGAGTTTCTAAATTCAGTGAATGGGGAATCAGGTTCAAAGAACATGCAAGAACCATGAATGTTTTACGTAGTCTGGAATAGGAATTTTGGCGTGTTCAATCATTGATGTTGTTGCATGCAGGTTCTTTGTTTTGTCTTGGCATCTTAATGTTCCTTATTTGTCAAGCAAGACAACCTGTCTTGCCTACCAACAACTATTGCTAACTTGACCTTTCTTATATCTCACTTGGCTTGTTTGCTCATTATATTTCTCTTGTTTGACCTCTCTTACCCATACAATCTCACATAGGGTCGTTAAATCAAAAATTATTTTGACATTAGATTAGGGTTTATTTAAAAAAAATAT